AAAACATGGTCCACTGACACACAGCACAACAGTCTACACAAGCATGACAAAATGAACAAAGTTCAGCCATTGTTATTTTTTTTATCTGAGCTGTTAAAGACAAAGAACCAACCAGGGTCAAAAGAGTAAACTATGAATAGTACAAAAAAAACATTTTGGCTCAGCCCATAATGAATTCTGTGCATGCCCTGACCCATGATTCGCTGTTTCTGAGGTGTTGCACAGGACTGACAACTGTAAATAAACTAGTTCCACGGGTTGAGCTGCAGCTTTGCAAAGAGTCTATATTTACTTTCAGTGCCTTCCAAAACCAAACAAGAAAAATCTGACCCCAGTTCAAAGGGTGAATTGAGATAAAGATTAAAGTTGAATCATTCTTTGCATTTGTCTGGACCTGTCACATGTAACCAGGTTTCTGGTTTCTAGCTTTCTGATGTTAAGCGTCAGAGGCCTTTCTCCTTTTCAGTCAGATTTTCAGGTGACTTCGAGAGTCCAGGCTCAACGTACAGAAAGTGGAAAAGATCCAGATTGTCTGGTCCACATGTCCTTATGCTGCTGATCCACCAAGTTTCTGAGGAAGAGGCAGTTTCTCTCAGCGGGCCCTCGACAGCATTAACTCCACACTTTTTTATTTTTATTTCCCACCCTTTAATTAAAATACAAGTCTCTCGTTGTTTGAAGCCACGCATGCTAACCCCATCCCCATGACCTTTTGATCCCACATCATTCTCCACTTTGTTTTCTTCATCCGCGTCTATCCGCTCCCCACAGCCGCCTTCCTCATCATTTCCTCGTCCTGGACGGAGAGCTCCGTCAGCTTGCGTCCTAGCCGCTCGTGAAGGTCCAGATATTTGGCCACGCAGCGGTCCAGGCAGACCGACTCACCCTTGGTCAGCTCTGCCTCCTTATAATGTGGCGGTACGCACTTCCTGTGGCAGGCATTAGTCATTCTGAGAGGAAAGGAAGGAAACAGTCAAGATTCTTCAGTAGGAAGAGTGATGATAAAAAGACATTTTTAAAACATAACAAACGTGTTACTACATGATGCATTCATGCATAAGCACCTTATTGTGGGGTCCCCATTATGACTTGCTTACAACAGTCACTTAGTAAAACAGAACAGCGCCATCTGCTGGAGTTATTTTGTGAACCTAAAGTTGGCTCTGAATACTCACCTTTTAAAATTCATATTTTCATATGACCTGATATAATAGTTATTTCATTTCATAAAGATGTTAAATTAACCAACTTTTAGGTCAAGAAAAGGTGCATTTAAGAGGAGTATTTAGAATTTCTGCAAATAAAATGTATTGTGGCTCATGTCACAGCAGAAATGTGCTTCCCAGTGTTGACACAGATCCTTCATCAGAGCAGGGAGAGACACAGATTCAGTTTAATTATATACTTCAAAGAAGAACTAGCAAAAAGTTAAATGGTAACTAATTACTTCCTTTGTCCTCATAGTCTTCACAGGGATAAGCCCCGAGGACATAATTTCATACATCCTTGCCCAACAAACACCACATGACCACCGACGGACATTAAACCCAGTTCCTCTTCACTGCAGGAGCTTCACAAAGAGACCAAACTGAAAACACATGAAAGTCATCAACCTCTCATTTCATGGTGTTGAATGAGTCTATCCAACAGCACTTCATCTAGCCAAATGTCTTTTAATACAACACCATGCTCATCAGAAGAAGCCTTAAGGTCCTTCTTCAGGTCACCATCACCGTTTGCCTTAGGAGACACAGTGATGGTGACCCGATAGGACCTTACCGCTTATTCTGATAAATCACATTTCAGTGGATTATTTCTTTAACCCGATTAAAATTATTGGTTAGGTTCTTCACATCCAGCCCCAGGATTCAAAAAACTGCAACAAGGCAGACGATAAGCCACGAACGCCTCTAACTGCCTGAAAGACCCAGTTACTGTCACTGTTGTGGTGAAGAAAGAAACTGTTAAACTGTTAAAAACAGGCATTTTACACTATGTACTTGTAAAAGTATTGCCAGCATTGGGATACCAATAAAATCCCCTAAATCTGAACCATCAACTTACTGACGTGTCAAAATGTTTCCTGTAAAAAGATACTAAACATAACAAACAAACATAACATGCCTCGCCTACCACCAGACCCAACTAAACAGAACAGCCCATCTGACAACGTCCAACAACTGTGTGACGCCATCACGTCAATACAGACCAAAATCTCTGAGGAATGTTTCCACCATTTATTTTATATCTATGCTAAAGGCAAAAGGGGAATTATCACGTATGAGCAAGCACCAATCAGGTGGCCAGTAACATATTTTTAATGGCTCTAAGATGTTGCCAGGTATCATATGAATGTTGAGAAATTTTTAACTAGAATTTGATAGAATTATTGCTCACTTCCATCCACAAAATGTAAACAAACATTAGTATTTGGTTTATGGAGTGATGTCAATAACTGGGCACCAATCAAATTACTGCAGAAGAAAATCCCAGCAAGATGATAGAGAACCAAGAGCCAATCAAACCTCAGTCAAAAAAGTAAAGCAAGCAAACTGCTTGCTTGTTGCTCTGAATGGTTGAACAAACCCATAACTCATTGCTCATGTATATTTATTTG